TTTTTTTTTTTTTTTTTTTGCAGTTTTTGACTGGGACTGGGCCTGAGCCTGCCACCTCTGGTATATGGATTGGCCCCACTCCATTGAGCCACAGGTGCTGCCCCACAGCAGTAAAGTCCATTATTATTATTTTTTTCATGGAGTACATTTTTTTTTTTTTTTGAGACAGAGCCTCAAGCTGTCCCCCTGGGTAGAGTGCTGTGGCATCTCAGCTCACAGCAACATCCCACTCCTGGGCTCAAGCAAGTCTCCTGCCTCAGCATCCCAAGTAGTTGGGACCACAGGCACCCGCCACTACGCCTGGCTATTTTTTGGTTGCAGCCATCACTGTTGTTTGCCGGCCTGGGCCGGATTTGAACCCGCCACCTTGGGTGTACGTGGCTGGTGCCTTAGCCACTTGAGCCACAGGCGCCGAGCCCGTAAAGTCCATTATTAAATAGGCATTTTTTTCACGTCACTCGTGAAATGATTAAACACAAATGATAAAGATGATTATTCACAGAGAATACAATGAAGGAATGATTTTTTTAAAAAAACATTTCAGGAACCAAAATGAAAGAAGAGTTGATTGGCAGAATAATGCTATATTAAAAGACACATGAGTCTTAGAATAAGAAATACAAAATAGTTTGTTTTGGGACTCTTGAGATTTGGGTTTTTGTTACGGCACTCTACCAAAGGGGACAACTTGAGGCTCTGTCTCAAAAAAAAAAAAAAAAAAAAAAAAAAAGGTTAAGAGTCAAATGACATGGCAAACTTCATTATTATCTTATTCTAAGACAATGTTGCAGGCACCCCAGCCTTCAGCAACCATCACTGCTCAGTCTACAGCCATCAATAAGGCAAGACATTTTGTCATCAAAATTAACTACTACTCACTGGAGGTTCAGATAATCATTAGCACTTTTTAGCAATAAAATGTTAATTAAGGTATGTACATTGTTTTTTAGATATAATACAATTATATACTTAATAGACTATAGTATAATGTAAACATAACTTTTACATGCACTGAGAAACCAAAAAATATGTATAACTCACTTTATTGGGATATTAACTTCATTGTGTTAGTCTGGAACCAAATTTGTAATATCTCTGTATACACACACATGTATTCCTGTACAACCATTAAACAACATAATCATTAAGTTCCCTTCATGAATAACATGTTACTTCTGTTTTTTCCAAAGTATTCAAATGAAAAGAACACTATAATAGTTTTCAAAAGCACTGACAAGTTTCTTCCACACTGTTAGCATCATCACATTTAATTATCATATTGAAATACTCAGTTTTTTATTATTTTATAGTGACCTATCTCAAACTATTTCTTTTAAGTAACATATAATTCTACCTTAAGAAAAGGAACGAGGTGAGGCTGAGGTGAAGACTTCAGTTCAACATACAGTTTCTTAGTAAATTCTTCTGCTTCAATTTTTGCATCCTGAGGAATAAGAATAAAAACAACTCACTTTTAGGCCTACAGATATTTTAAAGGGGGCAAAGTGTGAAATTCATGATGGAAGACACAGCAAGCTTTTTTTTTTTTTTTTTTTTT